ACTAATATTCTTATAAAGTTTTCTAAAATTAAAAATGGATGTAATTATAAAATTTTCTAAAATTAAAAAGGGATGGAAATATATAAAAGAAATTTATGGGTAGAATGGATATCAAATGGTTTTAAGACATATATAAATTTATAATTTTATTAGCAAAATGAGTTTAGTGGAAATATACGCACTAAGTCCATCTCAAGCTTCTTAACAAATGACCGGTGAGAATGGAAAATTTAATAAAAGAAAAAGAAAAAAAAAATTGCAAATCCCCGGGAAATGATGAATCGAGGGGTCCCTCTCCATTGGCTTCAGCCTTTTGATTTAGAATTTTGAAGAGAACCCATTGGTGTTTGTCCAACTCCACCATGAAATTTTCATTTCCCTTCTAATTTTTCTTACCCCTTTCTCTCCATCTTCTTCGCTTTCCCTCTCTCCTCCTCTCAGCTTCTGCTGATCGATCCATCCTTGTAACTGAAAATGGAGGCATTCTATTTCCTGGTATTTGGGGCGCTAACAGCACTGGTGGCAGTTTTGGAGCTGAGCAAAACCAGTAAAGATCGCATCAATACTTCCTCTGCTTTCAATGCCTTCAAAAACAACTACCTCGTTGTTTACTCTCTCATGATGGGTACGTGCTTAGATCTACCAACTTTTTCTCCCGTGGTTCTGTGCTAGCTGTTGCCAATTGCCACGAACTACGTGATGCTATTGATGATTAATTGATCCGGGTTCGATCCCCTCTTTCTCTTACTACCCACAGATTATCACATTAATGTCACTTTTTAAAAAGGAAATGAGATTATGCTGATTGTAGTTTGATTAGCGCTTAGATGGGAATATTCCTTTCCGATTGTTTGGTGTTGTGTACCTCATTTGATTTATTGCATAGTTGGAGCTTAACTCATCAAAGTGATAGCTCTATAATGCGCGGCTATGTTTTCTCTGATTTCATGTATATGGACTAGTCGCAGTAGTTTCTGTATCTTCCCTTCTTATTTGCAGCTTGTCTCTAGATATTGTTTTCCAATGTCCGCTTGATCTGGTTTTTTTCATGGTATAACATCCTCGTTTAGTTATGATTTTGCAATTGGTTCTGCTTTTTATATGTTTTCTTTTAATCAATAGACTGGGTCTGCTTCATATATATATTTTCTGTTTTCAGCCTAACCGTGTGTTCTCTGAAGAACAAATGAAATGTTAAAAACTATATTTTCATACCATCCAGAACTGTCTGATTATGTTACTTTCTTGGTGATATTATGTTATTGCTTAGCAGTTATGTTCTTGTGGTGATTAATTGAGTTATTGTCTGGCAATAGCTGGGGATTGGTTGCAGGGCCCATATGTTTACTATCTCTATAGTACATACGGCTTTGGAAAGGGAGATATTGGCCAACTCTTTATTGCTGGTTTTGGATCCTCCATGTTGTTTGGAACAATTGTTGGGTCTCTAGCTGACAAACAGTAAGAGCTTCTTTTCTTTTGTTCTTGTATTATTCATTAATTGTTGCTTGTTAAATCATTTCCTGATTAGTATGAGCCAATTTTAGGGGTCGAAAGAGAGCATGCATCACTTATTGTATTACCTATATACTGAGTTGCATCACTAAGCATTCTCCTGAATACAAAGTCTTAATGGTGGGACGAATATTGGGAGGCATCGCAACATCTCTGCTCTTTTCAGCCTTTGAGTCCTGGCTTGTTGCAGAGCACAACAAGGTGTCTCATTTTTAATTATTTGCTATAAATTTTGCGAGCTTATACAGTTAATTGATATTCAGATCCCTGATATTAAAATTTCAGAAATTAAATGATATGCTGTAACATTTTAGCTTAATCATATTTCTGTCAGTGGAGTCTGCAATGCCAAATTGCAAAATATTTTCCATTATATGTATTTTAAAGTTGCAAACCTGTGTTTGAACGAGTTTTGGAGTCATAATCCATTGTCTATAAGTGTCATCATCTGGTGAAGGACAAACTGTCATGTCTAAAGAGCCATCATGGTCAGCAGATTCTCAAATTATTTTTTAAATGTTCTTTTATTTAGGGAAAAAAGGTCTTTATCATCTAATTGAATTGTCCTTTCATTTTTTCTTCTTTTTCTACCCCTAAGGTTCTCCTGATTTTATCTGTCATTGCATATTTTGATATCTGCAGAGGGGTTTTGATCAACTGTGGCTTTCAGTGACATTCTCCAAGGCAATATTTCTCGGAAATGGGCTAGTTGCCATCTTATCTGGTTTGTTTGGTAATTTACTGGTAGACACTCTGAGCTTAGGCCCAGTTGCTCCATTTGATGCCGCCGCTTGCTTTCTTACAATTGGTATGGCAATTATAATGTCATCATGGTCTGAAAATTATGGAGATCCTTCAGAAAATAAGGACTTGTTTACGCAGTTCAGGGGCGCTGCTGTTGCCATAGCTTCTGGTGAATTCATACTTTTCTTTTGATAATGATAGTATCTCAATGGCAATCAAATTATCTAACTATTCTTAAACTAAGCTTGTCAAATCTTTTCTTCTTACGCTTTTGACATTTAGTCAAGCTTATTAGTATACCATGTACTTGTCGGAAGTGCTAATCAACCTGTGTAACTCTTTTTTTTTTTTTTTTTTTGAAATCATCTCTTGGTACCATTTGCACCTGCTCGAACACTTCCTTTTCTTGAACACATAATCATGAGGAAATCATAATCAACTTTTTGTAGATGTAATTTGGAATCTCCAGTAATCTTTGGTAGAGTTGGATCTAATGAATTTCCTCTTAAGCTAAAAATCTCACATTGCCTTCATGATTGTATCTTTGAGCCAATAATTATCTCTCTGTTTGTCCATGTGAAGTATGACAGTTTAGGCTTAGGTGTTTAAATGTTTTCTTGATTTATTTTTAGTATTACAATCGATGAGTAGGGTTTTAGGTGCTCTACGGTCAATATTCTTATGCTTTGCTGTCCTGCAGGAAATATGTCCATGTAGTTCCTGTAGTCATTTTCTTGTTTGCTTTTGTTGATTTTAAATGAAAAGATGGAAAACAAAAATAAATACTTTTGTCTGGGTCCCAACTCATTCTTTCGATTTCCTCTTTTTCATTGTGGGAAGTCTGCTAATTGATGTTTCATGTGGAATCAGATGAGAAAATTGCATTGCTTGGTGCCATACAGTCCCTTTTTGAAGGTTCAATGTACACCTTTGTGTTCCTCTGGACTCCAGCACTGAGCCCAAATGGAGAAGAAATTCCACATGGTTTCATTTTTGCAACATTCATGTTGGGTTCAATGATGGGAAGCTCAGTTGCCTCAAGACTGATGGCCCGCACATCCCTTAGAGTTGAGAGTTATATGCAGATTGTATTTGTAATCTCTGCAGCATCCCTCTTGCTTCCCATCATAACAAATGTATGTTTGGTTCAGAATCCCTCTCTCCTTGTGTTTGTGGATCAATCAGAAACATGATGAATACAATGGTGGTTTCTAAAATTTGAATGCAATTTTGAACAGTTCTTGGTAGCACCTTCTGGTGTAAAAGGTGGAGGGATTTCATTCTCTGGGTCTATCCAGCTTATTGGCTTCTGTACATTTGAAGCATGTGTTGGAATATTTTGGCCATCTATAATGAAGATGAGGTCCCAGTACATTCCAGAGGAGGCTAGAAGCACTATAATGAACTTCTTTCGCATTCCACTCAACATCTTTGTGTGTGTTGTGCTGTACAATGTGAGTCCATTACATTCATTTCCTTTTTCCATTCAGCCAACCTTTCCAGTTAAGAACTTTAATTTACTTTCACCTCATAATTATTGCATTTAGGAAAATCTTGTCTTTTTCCATAAGACCTTTTTAAGTTACATCCTAAGAGATGTATCCCTTTTGTGGCGTGACATTAATTGGCATCATCAAGATAATACCTACTTTACAAAACCACACTCCCTCAAGAGATATTATTTATAAATTATGAAGAAAAATAAATGGAGAGCTCAGGCATTGGATAATGCTGTAATTCTTTACTGATGTTGGGAGTGATTCTACCATTTCCCTGTTTGAAGGTCGACGCATTTCCTATCACTGTGATGTTTGGCATGTGCTCAATCTTCCTGTTTGTGGCATCTCTTTTGCAAAGGCGACTTACAGTGATTTCTGAGATCCAAAAGTCAAGTAAGTCCTCATCATTTGTAGTTCTTCTAAGTGCTTGAACTCTGAACTCAAAATACACAAACTGATAATTTACAAGCCAACTATTGGAAAGCATTGGGAAGCCAGCTGTATTTTCAGATTCAGAACTCTCTTTTTATTTTGCACATTGACAAAATTCCTTGAATGGTTGTCTGATTGTTTATGGCCATAATCATCTTTAGTTATTGTAACTACTATCGGTAACCTTCTTTAATGCAGGATCACAAGATTGGTCAATGATCAAAGAAAGGGACACGGAGTCTGAGCCATTAAATGATTAATTACTTTCATGGAATTAGACCTTTGGAACTCGCAAGGTTGCAAGCAGCCACTTTTTCTTACTCTCTGGTGTTGTAGTGTAGCCAGTTAGCTGTCTGCAATCTGATTAATAAGTGAGGAATATGAGTCAACTCCGTGTTTGATAAAGAAATTTTGATGGTGGAAAAGTGGTGCTTTTAGAGTGAAGGATATGTTTTTTAGGTCAAGGAACTATAGGAAATACTCCCCTATCCAGCCGAAAATGCACAATTATTTGTGATTTCTCTCAGCTATTATGGTGCAGTCAACTATTTTTTTAATGATTAATAAGTGAAATGAAGATTTCCTGTTCTTGTTCATAATTTATGCAGTTGTATCATTATCAATTTCATTGCAGGAGATAATTTTTGGTTGTTGTGGCAATATACATACATACAGTGTCTGTGTCTGTGTGCTTTAGAAAACAATGCTAATGCTGTCCAGATTGAACGGATAAAGTGACTGATTGATACTATGATGATCCAATTTAGCATATAGTTCTACTCAATGTTTGGTTGCACATATGGGTGTTTGTTTTTATAAAAAAAGTTCACTTATACAGAAGGCAGAAGAGGAACTTTAGAAAGAGAAAAAGAAAGATTATTATATGCTGCATAATAGCTGGGATCACGGTAAATGTCTTCTTCTTGAAGTATAAAACATGGTAATAGAAAATCTGGAAAAGAATTGAAAAAAATAACATGCCCCCATCCCATTGATGTCTATATCTGCTATCAAGGACTCACTTGATTGCTTTATTTCAAAAAAGAAAAAAGAATTCACTTGATTGCTAGCTGTAAGTTCATTAAGATTTTAAAATTTTTGAAGCCATATTTTTCCCCATGATTAATTAACTTGTTAGAGGATGATTGGGAGGGAGGCATTTTTCTTCTCAAATATTATATTTGATATATATATATATATATATATATATTAAAACAAAGACATCCCCACTTCACGAATCTCAACTGGCCATGTGCCCTTGTTAGCCAAATGATTGATTTCTTTTCCAACCCTTGTCTCCAAAATATTAAAATTCCTTTTATATCCTAGGTCTTTTGGGACTTGAGTGTATATAAATATCAAAATCTTTTAATAGGGAAGAGGGAGTTTAGGCAATAAAAAAGAAAAAGAAAAAAAGTAAAAGGTTGAAGGATGAGCAATCTTGGATGGTATTTGCTCTGTACTTTTCAGCTTATTTTGGTGGTTAATTCCCTGGAATACAAGGTTGGAGATCTGAATGCTTGGGGAGTACCCAGCGAAGTTAATCCACAGGTTTACAACAAATGGTCAAAGTACCACAGTTTCAAGATTGGAGATTCTCTCTGTTAGTATTTTCTTTTTCTGTTGTTTCAAGATTTGGATGTGTTTGTATATATATAGACTTAGATTGAGTGTTTTGATTGATTTACAGTGTTCTTGTACCCACCAAGTCAAGATTCAGTTATCCAAGTGACAGAAGAATCTTACAAGTCTTGCAACATCAAAGATCCAATCTTATACATGAACAATGGAAACTCTTTATTCAACATCAGTGGAGATGGGAATTTATACTTTACCAGTGGGGCTGCAGGGCACTGTGAAAAGAGACAGAAGCTGCAGATTTCTGTTGGGTTGGCCGCCTCTGCCACGTCTCCTTCTCAACTTCCTGATACTGCACCTTCTTACCCAACTGTCTTTGGCTCAATCCCTCAACCTCCTTCTTCTTCTTCTTCTTCTTCTTCTTCATTTCCACCATTTCCACTTTTCCTTTCAGCTGTTCTTGGGTTGCTAATTGGCTTAATCATGTGAAGGGTTTTACTCAATCCAACTTAGATCTCTCATATTTTTGTTTGTCACTTGGACATGGATTGAATCAAGCTACTGTTGCTGTAACTGGGTTTTATTTTTTTTTCTGGGAAAGGACCATGAGAAAAGGTAAGCACTCAGATTTTTGTATACAGATCATATCTCCACTTGTAAAATGTATTTGTTGAGCACCAATTTTTCTTTTTTTTTTTTTTTTAGTAAACCAAACTCCAAAATTATGTTTTGTTATGTTTTTTTTTTCTAGTTTTAATTTTTAAACTAATTTTATTTTAATATGTATATTTACAACAAAAAAAATCTGTATCTGTACCATTATCACTTCCTTTTCTTTAATTATAATTTTAATATTTATATTAATATTAAGTTGAACATATATATATTATATATGTTCAGAACATAATTTGTTGCTATTGGTTATATTCCAATAGTTCCACTCCTTTAAAATCGGGAAATGAACAAAAGAGGAATGAACTAAAAATTTCAAACAAGTTTTTTCTTTTAATTTTAATTTTATTACTTAAACTTGTCATATTTTGTTAATTTTTCAATTAATCTTTTATCTTTTATAAAGTTAAACCACATAAAATAATTTTTAATTATTTAAGCAATCAAGACTTTTTTTTTTAATTTTCTTTCCTCTAAAATCTACTTTTCTTCTTCTGTCTTTTTTTTTTTTTTTTTTTATAATTCAATACAATTATTAATAGGCAACAAATAAATTTTGGTTTTAGTAATAATTGTTTTACTTTCTGATATTTTAGTTTTGATTGAATTTTGAATTTTAGATATATAATATAAATGTCTAAAGGTTAAAATTAATTAACCTTATTAATTATGATCTTAATTTCTAAATTTATTTTAATAAATGAAGTATAAATAGTAATAGACAATAAAGTTAATTTATTTTTAATGAAATTTTTAGGTTTGACATTTTTATAGGAAACGTTTTTTTTTATTATATTAATTTTCTTTATCTTTCGTTGAATCTTACAGAAAAATATATCATATAAGTTACATTGTAAATATTATATTTGTAATTTTTAATATTATTACTAATTAGTTATATAATAAATCTAACATCAATACAAAAACATAATGTCCACTATGTTATATTTTTGCAATAATTTTTCTTATTTTGTATAAAATAAACCATGTAATTGGATAGGGCAGAGCGTTTCAAGTATGCTTTTTTTCTTTTACTATTTATTAAATCCTAACTTTAAGTTTTGTTAAGTAACAGAATGACAAATTGTGTAATGAAAGAAAAAACTAGTCTTATTTTGATTACTCCACACCAACATTTTTAGAAAGAGGAAAAATAAAACCATCCCTAATTGCTCTGAAGACTGAAAAACCATATTCTACAATTCCAAAAATTTCTACGTCTGTTCAACAAAAAAGGTGAATTTCTGATTTCTGTATTTAGCTTTTCTTTTTTCTTTTCCGAAGGTAAAAAACATATCAACAGCCAATGGCTTACAACCTGATCTAATGCCACATAAATAACATGCTTTTCCCAGCATGATCTAACGGCTTACGAAAGCCTCTGTAACATGCTGACTTGACTCCAGCATCATAGCCTAGTGGCATACCTCCCAAGTGCTGATACTCTTAAAGAGTGTTCTGATTCAG